GGGGGGGGGGGGAAAGCCCAGCTCTGGAATATGGAAGAGCTTCTGTTGAAGAAGTGTTTCCCCAGGTTAGGACTCTTCACCCTGGGGAAGAGAGGCCTGAGATGCTCCTGCAGAAGGGCAAGCCAGGAATGGTTGCTCCCTGTTCCCTGCAGTGCAAGATGGTCAGGTGGGAGGCTTAAAACAAGCGGAGCATGTATTTTCCCTGCCTGGCACAGTAAATAACTGCACAGGGACTACAGGGGCTGGCCAGGCACCCCTGCTAGATTGAGCATGCTGCTGCAAGTGGGGCAGCAGGAGGGGTGCTGTAGGCGGTCTGCAGGGTTTATAAATGGGCTTGGGAAGGATTAACAGGGAAACAGGCCATGTGTTTGCTACATCTGCACAGAAATGCCATCTCTGGCTCTCCGCTGCCCAAAGACCTCTGAGGAGCTGCTCTGCCCAGGAACGAAAGCAGCAGAGGGGGCCAGAAGTTGCCCCCACAACCACCGGTGTGTCCACCAGCAGGCTGGCCAGGGCAGGAGAGCAGAAGGGATTTTGCAGCACTGGGGAGCCTTGAGACAGGCTTGGATATGAGAGGAAGGTGAGCTGTCCCATGGTTTGCCGTGGGTGAGTATCTCCCTCTTGCTTTTGTTTTCTTCTGAGAAAGCTTCAAACCCAGATTATTGTAACAGGGAGAGTATGGAGGAAGGACAAACAACCACTTTCAGACACTGAATCCTCACACTGCTCCTGAAAATGTGTTAGATACTTCTTGCCAAGTCAGTTTTGAATTGCTAACATGATGTCTTAGTTATTCAAAAGCAAATGATAACTAGCTGTGCATTCGTTTAAAAGGATAAAACCAGAAACATAGGCATTCCTTGTACTTTTTCAGTCTCAGGAACCTTTAAGTTCCTTAACCCAAGCAAGCTTACTCTTTGTGTACTAGAACTGGAAATTTTAGGTCTTTTCTCCAGCTGACCTTTCCCAGGAAGAGAAACAGGACGCCACACCAAGAGCCTCTGGCTCAAATACAACCATACTCGGTCCTGGGGCTCAAATTGAGAGACTAAAGGTCTGAACATCATGTTTTTATTTTATTCTCAGCCTTGCTAAAATACAGTATATAGTTTTATGTAACACTTCTTTTCAAATTACTTTTACAAGAAGAGACAAAAGCCTATTTGCAAATTCAGAAGATGGAGGTCTGAAGTTCTTCCTTAAACATGCCTTCAAAATGGAGGTCTTTTGCCATGAGCTCTTCTTCTACATCTTCTAAGGCCCACTGGTGATCAGTCAGTTCTAAAGCTTCCCATTCCGTCTGCATTGATAATAAACAGAGGTAGAGAAAGGAAAGCAACACAGCATTAGACAAGAACTATGAAAAGCAGTGCTTACCTTAAAAACTGCAATAAAAACCAAGTTCTGTTAAAAACCTGGCAATCCTGTCAACTCTCTGAAATCGGTGTTTGGCGCCTAATTGGGTATTAGGTAGTTGGTCAATACAAGTACATCATAGAAATTAGAAAAATTACATTATCTGCTTTTTGAAAGCCCTCTAACCTAGAATAGTCTGTTTCTCATAAACAAGCTGTCTCTAGGAACACAGCCAATTCTCTTCTGGGGGTCAGGTGCTTTGTGGTTGGTTAATTCTTTAGTTCAGAGACATTTGATAAAAACAGTTACAGGCCAAAAATTTTGCGACTCATCAGACTTGCTGTGCCTCATTAGACTGTTCTCCAACCAACAAGCTCCCTGGAGCTGCAGAGTTTTTTAGTTAATTAAGCCAGGTGTTCATAGCAGCCTGAGACTTAAAAACAGAACTTCATCCTAAATATGAGAATGATCTCCCCCACTATTCATTTTCCCCACCTATGAACACAAATGTCTCCTCCTCTTACTCTAGTGTTGCTCACAGTAAGTATGGTGGCATAAGCTGCATACAGCCTGCAAAATCACATCATGCAATGCCCAGCAAGAGATTTGTATTTCTCGGCCAGAACAGTTCTCCTGCGCTACGGGCTTGCTTTCTTTGTTCCTGCTGGGGCCCACGTTGTGGGTTCAGGTCCCTACGGGGCTGAAGGGCAAAGCTGCTCTGGATAGGCAGTACTGGCAAGGGAGCAGAGGGATGCGAGCCCAGAGAGTGCACAGCACCAGCTGGAATTGCACCTCAGTGCCGACAGTGCAAAGCACAGACACCCTCTTCCCTGGCTGAACCCTGGGCTGGGTGATGGGTGTGGGGGTTTAACCAGGAAGGTTACAAGAAACTACAGGAGCAGACCATCCTGACTCCCCAGCCAACAGGTTGTCCGTGGGTAAATCTGTATTACAGTACATGAAAACAGAAACCAGGACCTTCCCTTCAGGCATAGACTAGTGTCATGAAAGGCAGAGGCAGTTGTTAATCAAGTGTCTATGGAGACTGCTTAGGTGAGCTTCCAAGACACATGCAAATCCTGACAGATTTTCAGTTGAGCTAACTTGCTGACATGATTTTCTTACCCAAGTTCCATCATGTGCCTGCTGGACTCATGCTCAGCTGCATTATTATCATAACTCTCTGGGAGCCAGCTTCTGCTTCGGGACTAAATTGCAAGGGGGAGAAAAAGCTTTCCTCTGCAAAATCAGATGGTGATGCATGAATTCAGCTTTTGTGTCAGGAACGACTAAGTGGGTTTGCTTCAGGCTATTAGAGCTCTGCCAGACCCAGGGCAACTTCCATACGCTTCATCAGTTGTCAGCTCTAATTTTAGGAACGGGAATCCAGAGCAATTCCCTTGCTTGATGGAGGGAGAGGCCAAGTTACATACAGCCTCCAATCCTCTTAAGTTCACAGCACGGGAGTGCAGGTGGGAATACTGTACCTTAAATGCTTTGTTAGTATCTGCTGGCATGGCCATTGCTGCCCCTGTCATTTGTTCTTGCATCACCCTAGACTGATCTGCAGCTGTAAAAGAGAAATGAGAGGTTCATTTTAACTTGTGTCATTTAAACAGCATTTCTTGGAACCCAGTGCCACCAGGCTGTTATCCAGCTATGAACCAGAAAGTTGCAGAAACACCCAGAATGCAATACTAACTTGCCAGAAGGAGTTCTCACAAGATATCTTGTTCCCACTTTCTACATCTCAGCTAAATTTACATAAAATATGCAAATGGAGGAAAATAGTCTTCTAATTCCCAGTAACCCCAGAAACAGTATCTGTCCGCCCCCGCATCTACCATTAAGAAAGCCTTGCAGCTTTCCTTAAAACCAATCCTTACTAGAAATAAAAGTAAGCCTGAGCAAAGTTTCTGCACACCAGTTTGCAGGGAAGGAAAGCATGGGTTAATTCCCTTGGAATTTTACGAGCAGTTAGCTAACAACTGGTGCAGAAGATCTGGGTACTTGCTTCGGTGATGTCAAACCAGGCCAGTGGAGATTAACCTCACAGGAGTGAGAAAGGCTTTCAAGAGCTTTTTGGCTGGAAATTTAGAAATCCTTCCCCAGCCTCCCTCAGAAGTCACCCTGTGGAAGGAGAAGCCAGCTCTTTGACAGCAATGACAGTGTCTTACCATTATCTTGGCCCAGGATGAGAGTATAAATGCTTCTGAGTCCAAACACATTCAAGAAGTACCAGGAAGCAGAGCTCACCCTGATAAATCAGAACAAGCATGGCTGATTTCAGTTCAAAGCTGGCTTGTGATCTCATTTCAGAAGCATGCACAGACCATTCAAGGGTTATTAACACATTCAAAGTTTTCCAAGTGAACCTTCACCCTTGCTTGCTGAGGCCACAGGCTTACCAGGACGCATCTAAAGTGAGCAGTTCAATTCCCTGCTGCAACATTGGTTTAAAACGCAGCGTCAGAGGAAATGGGACCTTTGCTGCAGGATGAAAAAAACAAAAAGCCCAGTTTCACAAGGTAACACTACGTAATTGCAAAGCAAATGGTAAAGCGAGTCAATGTTTCCTTTACTGAATCTAATGTAGTCTGAATGCAACGCAGACAATAACAAGTTAACACACACTTTTGAAAAAGCTGTAGTTCTGTATTTACTTTAATATGAAAAGACTTTTTGAAACTTAATCAAATGGCCAAACCATCACAGGCGTTGTTTCAGTGACGGTGAAGGGGAATGTCTTTTGTTAAGGAAGCAGTGATCGCGTAAACAGTAAGAAAAAAACCCCAGACCCGTGAATTTAAGGTAGTATTTTTGATGTGTTCACTCTGCATTACACAGTAACCAACTCCCTGGACAGGTTCAGAGGAAAATCCACTCTATCAAAGCCCTGGCAGTTTTAATAAATTTAAATACTGTTTTCGCCACTACAATTGCTCCCGAATATATCAGCTATTTCCTTTGTGACTGTGGCCGGTACTCTGCAAACCATTTTCCCTCCTTTTGCTAGGGGGCAAGAAAATCCATGGAGTTCATGGGGTGAATAGTGGCAGTGCCACATGCCACATTCATGCTGCTTCCCATCGACTGCTTTCAGGTAGAGGAACAAATCTCTGCTGCAGCCCAGACCCTCGAGGCCATCATCAGAAACCCAGCCAGACCCGCAGGCCGTGTGATTCCAGACACTTACTTGTGACAAATCCTGAAAATGTCATGTTAATCCAACCACCGATGAGGATCATAGGCAGAACATTGGTTACATTCCCTTTCATCATATCTGTCAACATGGTAGGATCTGCAATTCAAAGACTTGGTGTAAAACAACAGTGTATCACAATAAAGGGAAAGAAGAGATTACTATTTTAATTAATAAATTAAGAAATTTAATTAAGAAACTGAATGAGAGTTAACAGTCATATCCTGCTATCTATCCCATATCTGTTGTTTTCCACTGTTGTAAAATTCTTTGCAAAATAGGATGAACAGGCAGTGCGGCGGTGGCTGCTGCCCAAAGGGTCTTGTGTTCTCCGCTGCGTCTGACCCCAGCTGCTTTGTTTGACCCCATCCCTTGCTTCAGATCGCTGGACTTGCTAGAGCCCTCTGCGAGCCGATTTAGCTAGAAAAGGGACAACGAACTATCCAGCTAATTTGCTGCTGAGGTCTTTGGCCATGTTAATGAGTTAGTTACATCAGTTTAGAGAAGGTCCTGCAGGAGCTGGTGAGAAAAACTGATAAAAGGGCCCAAGTGAGCGCAGGACTTCCCACTCCTGGCCACACTGCGGTGGTCGTGGTCTTGTGAGGTGCTGCAGGCAGCTGGAGGCTGAAGTTACGCAAAATGAGGTGACCCAGCATTTTGGTCCTGAAGAGAGGGCTCTCGCCCCCGCCTCCTCCCCAATACCTAGCGGCACAGTCCCATCCCCTCCCCCCGTTCACTGAGCTCTCTGTGAAGCGGATTCACCTTCCTCCCTTGGCACAGAACTACAGATTTTCTGCCCAGCTGTATTTATGGTACCTTGACGTACCTGTCATTGGTGAAGGAGGCACTACTTTTCTTTTTGTTTTCTTAAAAAATCCATCCTCTGGGTTATTAAAAAAATACTTCCGAGTCAGGAAAGACTGGAAACAAAAAAAGCCAATACCAACGCGGTAAGAAATTACAGGACAGAAGTGTTATTTGCTGCTCAGACATGCAGACATCTTACAAGCTCTTTCACAACACGTCCTTCTTGGAGGGGCACCTCACTGCCCACATGCTCTAAAGGTCCCCACTTTGCAGCTTCCCTGGGTCCAGAGTACCAGCTCTCTGCCTTTCTAAAATTCTTGAAATAACTCTTAAGAATTCTCTAAGGAAGGATCCAGAGCTTTCAGCGCTCTGCGCGGAGTCCTTGCTGGCTCAGCGCTGATACCGGCGCACCGGACGTTTCCACTCCCCCCAGCTGCCTTCTCCATCTCGCCGCACAGGTGTCTGCCAGCAGACCAGCCCAGGGGAGCGACTGGCTTCCAGCCC